AAGCTCGTAGGGCAAGTCGCTGGTCGAAGCAAACTCATTTCGAGCCGCACTAAAGAGTGGGTTTACCGTAAACAAGGTGAGAGTGCCAGGTGAAGCTAATGGAAATAAAGAATGATAATCAAGAATAGGAAGTGATTGTGAGTCTGAATCATAAGTTAAGATTGAATTCATGAATTATATATGATATTCATTATTGTGTAGGTATGAGTTGTTTGAGTTGAGTTAGATCAAGGTGATTTGAATTGAAGGAAGGTGATATCGTTTGATTGAATCAAAACAAGTGTTCAGATAGTTTAAAATCAGTTATATGAAGCATTGAGTGAGTTAAATTAGTGTATTTGAAGTTGTTTTTGAAGTTGATGAGATGATTTCAACATATATGCAAGTAGTTAAAGAGATGAAGTTAAATGGGTCGATCGATCGATGAGTTTGATGATTAATACAGCAGATGAAGTTCAAAAAATAATCAGTCAGTTATTTAATTGAGTGTAGAAGGAGTAAAGGTGAGAGGATGACTTACGAAAAGGCATCCTAGTGACAATGTTAGTGGCTTCAGTCATAATATGACCTCCAATGATTTCCAAGTCGTCAGAGCCTTCTATGGTAGTAGGTTCAACTTTGATTGACTGATGATTGGCATCATCATCATCATTTTCGCCTCCTTCATCGTCAGAATCACCGGAGGCAGAGTCAGATCCAGAGCCATCATCTTCAGATGGTTCATCGTCGTCGTCGTCCTTCTTTCCTTTCGTTTGATTTGAAGAAGGTAAAGTATTAGAAGCGGTAGAAGATTGAGTTACAGGGTGGGAATCGGGGTTATTCGCAGAGTTTGAGTCATTAGCCATCTCCACATCATCATCTTGAGTATCAGCTAAAGGTTTAGCCTGATTAACAGCAGTTTGTTGGCCGGTGGAGTCGAGATTTAAGATCTCAGAGGCTAAGGCTTGGGTGAGGAGAGGAGTAGAAGTAGAAATGACTTCTGATTGACGTCGAGACGGTGCCTTGTAGGGCTTGATCTTCTTCGAAGAGGTGGATTGAGGACGATGTACCAAGTTCTTCTTAGCGCTTGGTGTGGTTGGAGCCATTTCGATCGATCTAGATCATGTTATAGGTTGAAAGGAAACATAACAGTTAGTTTAGTTCATTATATACAAACTTTCAGAGAGAAAACTAACGTAGTATGTTTAAAAAAGGGGTATCTATAGATATTTATAGAGTAGAAGGAAGGAGATCTGGCTGGTGAGGTAGAAAGAAGACTCAATCGCAGGAATAGCCTGCTCTGAAGTTGATGAATGGTGAATTGTGGTTCAAGAGATAGCCGAATATTGATGACCTAAAGGAGTAAAAGTGATTAAGGAAATCAAATTTGAGTTATTGAGGAAGTTTTAGAGGTGATTTCTATAAGATATTAATAGTACTAACCTCTAATAGTTTATTAGAGAGCTCTAATACGGATTGAGAAGAGTTAAAGTATAAGTCTAATTGATTGATTAATAGTTGTAGAGTGTTTAAAATATCTATTGATACAGATTTGATGGACTCAATGAAATAAATGAGGATAGTGAGGTTGAATGAAGGGGGTTCCTTGAGGTATTCGTTCGTTCTGAAGGTTTGTATACCTATATACTTCCTACTGAGGATCCTATTCGAAAGAAAAAAGTGATTCAAGTGGGTTAGAATGGTTTCTTGACGTGATAGTTCAAGAATGAAGGGACCTACCTGTGATTAACAAGCGGATAGTCCATTGAGAATCGGGCTAAAGGCCATAAATCATTAGCTTTAAGATGATAATCCATATTTTGAATGATATTCGATCGTTCTAAATTGACAAAAGCTGAGAGATGAAGTTTTTCATGAGCTGATATTTTGATTTTCAAGTTATAATTTTATTGATGATAGTTAGATCTTGAGATGTTCAGTCTGATGAGTATGAATCTGTAGTATTCGAAAGGTGATTTCAATCGAGTGGGTTCAAGTATTGAGGAAGTATGGTTCTTGAGTAGTTTAGACTGATTAGGTAGTTCGATCTGGAGTTAAGAGGTGGATTAAACAAGTTGTGGGTATGGTTAATTCGAGAGGAAGATATATGTATATATTTAGAATGAAAGATATCTAGAGATGACCTAGTTATTTCGAATCTCCTAATTGGATGAGATTTGATTAAGATGACTGGTGTAATAAGAAGAAGAAGTGGGTATCGTCGATCGATAGAGATAGTGAGGGAAATACTAATGATAATGATTGGATTAGTGTGTATCAGAGCTGAGGAAGATCATGTTCATTTAGTTTGAAAGAGAATATACGTGATATCTAATTTGAATAAGTGAAAGTCTTGATGACGTTGATTTAAAGAGATAGGATTGAAGAATGAATCTGTAAGTTGATTTCTTTATGAGATGGTACGAGTGGGAGGTGAGATCGATTGAATATCTTCTTTTGATGTTCATAGTATTTCTTGATATGATATAACGTGCTTAAAGGGGGTAGGTCTTCCTTTTTCTTCGAATTCGGATGGAAGGAGGGTTGTTGAATGTAAATCTACGCTGAGCAGAAGGTATAGGACGGATATCTTGTTATTCGGTCCATTATTGGGTTGGTGTGATCATGTGACTGATCTGTATGAGTTTAGAGCGTAGGTACCGGTACAAATTCAATTGTAGGTACCGGTATATAGGTTAGAATGATGAGGTATCATCATCATAGGTTAGAAAGGGAAAGTACCGGTACGAAATGAGTTATTGGTACCGGTACATAGGTTAAAATGGCGATGTATCATCACTGTAGGGTAAGTGGTGAAGGTATCGGTTGGAATCTAAGTTCTGGTACCGGTATGTAGGTTAAGTGATGATGTATCATTACTCTAGGTTAGCGGGTAGCGGTACCGGTACAATTTTATGTATTGGTACCGATACATAGGTTTAATGGTGATATATCGCCATTGTAGAGTTGCCTTAGGTTTATGGGTTATGGCTATGGAATGTAGTATGGGGGATGATGGGTATAGACCTGTCATTAACCGTGAAACAGTTTGAACTGATATGTCATCTGCTGACAGATCTGTGATTTGTGTTGGCCCTGGGTGTATGTCAGGGCCAGGGCCAGGGACTGGTAGTTGGTTCTAATCCAGTTGATGGCATGTATAGGTTTTTGGTGTCGTGTTTATGACATATGTGTGAGATGTAATGGCCCTGAGCAAGTATCAGGGCCAGGTCCGGGGACTGGTCGTTGGTTCTATTGCAGTTGATGGCATTTATGTTTGGTGTTATATTCATAACGTACCTGTGAAATGTGTTGACTCTGGGAGTGAGTCAGGGTCAGGACCGGGCATTGGTTATGGGTTCTAATCCAGTGATACAGTATAAAGATGCCTTATCTGATCTGTGATATTTTGTTTATCTGTGTTGGCCCTGACTTTGCTTCAGGGCCAAGGCCAGGGACTGGTAACTGGTTCCAATCCAGCTTGCGTCATTTCAAGATAATTTTTGACACGTATTGTGTTTCTTCATGGTATAACTTTAAGGTTCTTAAGAGTTTCATTTTGGTTTAATTTGTATAAGTATGTATACATATTCCTTAGGGAGTTTGTGTAAGACTTGCTTATACTTTTATTGGTTTGATTCATAATATTTAATCATGTTTTTAGAGTTTGGTTGATTTTAATTCTACATACTGTTATATGAGGTTTAGCAAAGTGCTCTTAACCATGTTTTTTAGGGGTTGGTTACCACCTAGGGTTGTAGTAGTTGTTTTCATTAGAGGTGGACATGTTATCATATCTTTATTAGGGAAGAGCATGATTTGACCGCCACCTTTAATAAAAACAATAATGAAACAGGGGCATAGGGCATAGGCATAGATGTAAGAAAAAGAGGGGGCATAGGGTTGGGATAATATGAAGATCCTACTATTGGTCTTCTCCCGTAGATGGTAACTTTATTGTTTTTTATGTTACCAATATTTCTAGTTGTTGTTATATCTTTCTAGAACCTTTGAATTGTACTTGGTAGTCACGGGTGTATGTATCACTTGTGAATATAGGATATATTAAGTATTCTTGGAATAAGGATTATTAGTTGGGGTATATCTTAGGTTGATTATACATATGGGTTCAATATTTTTATATATATATCTATTTTTACTTTTACTTTCTTATACATATTTAAGTCATTTATAGTGCGGTTGATAAATTTCAATATATTTATCGGTGTTTGCTTGTTTATGCATGATGTTATTTTCATTTGTTATACTTTAGTTTGGTTGTCTTATCCATTCTTTTTTTTTGATTGATTTCTCTTTTAGCAAGAAATGTGTTTGGCTTATATTTCAGCTTAGGAGAAACTTTGATGACTTTGGTTTTATCTCGGTTGTTTGTGAGACCTTGATGTGTAATGGATGTTGATGTAAGAAATGCCTTCATCATGGGTGGTAGTACTGTGTCAAGAGAGTGACTTTCATAATATTTAGATGAGTAACAAGTGATTAATCATTAGGTTGTATGTTCTTCATAGTTAGGTGCCTATCTCATTCCTCTGTCCTTTGCGGGGTGTCATAAACAGGTCTTTTTCCTAATCTCTGTAACATATTATATAAGTGTTTGCATATATATCAATAAAGGATGAGATGTAGCTAAGTTGAAGGTGGTTTTCTCAGACTCTGCCTTTGGGCAGAGTATTATTGAACACTCTTTTACCTTTATTAACTGATATTTACTTATCTGTCCTGATAGGTTAATTGATCAGAAAACATTTTATTTGTTTTATAGATGAAAGGAGAATAAGGGTATACAGTGTTCTTATTATTGAAGAAGGGTGAATGTGCCTCATAGTTCAGTTTATGAGAAACTTTTAATGAAGTGTCTTCTTATAATCAAGAAGTGAATCCTAGGAGGTAAATTGTGGTTTAGGTATGAAGTTACCTTTTTCAATGGTGTTAGTAATTCAGGAAGTGAATTGGGTGATGACTTGATGATTTAATATTGTTTGCACATCAAATTTTTATGTCATACTTAATTAGGCGCCTATCTCCTCCTTCCGTCTTTGACGTGTTGTCATTAACAGGGCTTTTACCTAAGTTTTCTAACATAATATATGAAATTTTCATATATGATTGAAGAATTAGATATAGTTATCTTGGAGGTGGCTTTCTCAACTTTCACCCTTTGGCATAGTGTCATTGAATGCGCTTTTTACCTTCAGTAACTTATATCTACCTATCTGGCTTGATAGGCTAGTTGATCGGAAATTAGTTGATTTGCTTTATATATGAGAATAGAATAAAGGTATACAATATTCTTATTTTGAGGAGGGGTGCACGTGACTCATAGCTATGAGAGACTTTGATGAGGGGGTTTTTTACAATTAAGAAGTGAAACCTAGGTGAGGAATTGAGGTTAAGGTGTAAAACTACCTTTTTCAAGGGTGTTGGTAATTCAGTGAAAGAGTGAATTTGATAATGTTTTGATGAGTTAGTAGAGATTGTTCATCAGTTCTTATGTTAAATTTGATTAGGCGCCTATTTACTCCTTCTGTCTTTGACGCGTTGTCATCAACAG